ATTATCCGAGCCCTTGGTATTCCTGTGGAGTCTGGTGGGTCCCTGCCCCCCAGGAGAGTGGGGTAAAAGAATATCTCCTATGTCTGGGCCCTTAAGCTGAAGCTATTCCCTCTCTAGGCATGAGTCATCACCCCTGAGGAAGTTGTCTGTGGGCGCACCAAGGGAGGGGCACTTTGTGTTCCATTGCTCATAAGGCTTCCCTTCCATTGCTCATAAATACCTCCCTTCCTCTTGCATCTTAAAAGAAGGAAGACTTCTAAAAATACAGGACACCTGTTTGTGTTATATCTTCCATTGGCTTCTGCAGAATCCTGGAAGAGCCTTGGATCATCTCTTCTTTCTTCCACTGCACACAGCTCTGGGCTCAGAAAGCTCAGAAAGCAAATGCAAATCAGCCTTTCAACAGATAATGCTACCATAATTACTCAGGGAGATTACTTTATTCTATCTTCAAACCACCATGTCCACCATTTTTATCTTTTTTGTCATTTGTGGGGCTTGAACTCTGGGCCTGGCCACTGTCCCTGAACTCTTTCAGCTCAACTCTCTACCACTTGATCCACAGTGCCACTTCTGGTTTTCTGGTGGTTAATCGGAGATAAAATTCTCACAGACTTTCCTGTCCCAACTGGATTTGAACTGTGATCCTCAAATCTCAGCCTCCTGAGTAGCTGGAATTACAGGGAGGAGCTGCTGGTGCCCAGCTAGAATCTCTGCCAACTGCACTAGACCCTAGGCCACAGGAGGTCTTTTAGGTAGATATTAGACATGACTAAAATGGGGAAATTTAGCCAAGTGTTTGGTTATTCCTATATGCCCACAGGTTTCTGGCTTTGTCACATAGAGAGTAGCCCCAAATATAGGGTTCCTAGATACCATTTCTTGGGCAACAGTTGGACAAGAATATTAAGAAGGTTTCTGTCCTCTCCAGGCCCAAAGCTACCATCTATGGTCACTCCTCTTTCATTGTTATTGCTTGCAGCTTGGGCCTCAGACCTATGACTATCCAGGGATGATCAGTAGAGGAAGCAGGTCAACTTGGAAAGTAGCTTTTTGAGGTTAACAGTAACTTCTTCCTCACCAAACACAAGGAATTGATGGTCTTCATTCCGTTCAACCTCTACTCATCATCTACCAGGATTGATCACCATTACAGTAGCACCCTGACCACACTTGGCTCTGATAACAGAAGAGAGTCAGTACTATTTGAATGGCTGACTGTTGTCTCTAAATACTGACACACAAACAGGACCATTTTTTTTTTCACAATATGTGAAGAAAAAAATCATGCTCAGCTAACTTCCTATAACTAATGTTAAGCTAATGTGATCTTTGACTCATTAAAGAAAGTGATCTCATCACTGCCAGGTCCAAAGCACTGAACCTTCTCTGTTCAAGGTTGTGATGACTTACTCAGGAAGAAGGGTGCTAGTGGAAGTGTCATTGTTTAGGGTCCTGCAGACCGGTAAGCCAAGACACTGATGATATTTAATTAAGAGGAAAGACTGTTAAGGAAATATATGATTGCTTTTCGTTATTTGTTGGGTTTTATATATATATATTTTTTGGGTCCGGTCGTGGGGCCTGAACTCTGGGCCTGGGCGCTGTCCCTCAACTCTTCAACTCAAGGCTAGCACTCTACCACTTGAGCCACAGTGCCATTTCTGGCGTTTTTCTTTTTGCGTATGTGGTGCTGAGGAATCGAACCCAGGGCCTCAGGCATGCAAGGCAAGCACTATACCACTGAGCCACCTTCCCAGCCCAGGGTTTTATATTTTTTAAAAAGACACAAAAATATATTCTGTTCATTCCAAAAAAAAAAACCAGACTATGATATCTAATGGCACTATGGAGGTGGAGTGTGAGAAGTAGTAAAGTTGAGATTTAATATTAAAAAAAAAAAAAGACATGCCATACACCAGTGGCTCATACCTGTAATCCTAGCTACTCAGAAGGCTGAGATGGTGAGATCTAAAGATCATAGTTCAAGGTGGGGGTGGAGGGGTAGATGGGTGGGGGGAAATGTAGTTGTGGAGGTGGGAGGGAAGGGATGGTAGGGGAAAAACAAAGGAGGAGGCAACAATCTTTGATAAGAAATGCAACAATGCTGGATAAGAAATGTACTCACTACCTTGCTTATGTAACTGCAACCCCTCTGTACAGTATTTTCACAGTGAAAACTTAATTAAAAAATTAAAAAGAAGAAAAGAAATAAAACTTGTAATATCTAAAAACAGAAAAAGATCATGGTTTAAAGCCAGCCCAAGTAGAGAAGTCCATGAGACTCTTATCTCTAATTAACTACCAGAAAACTGGAAGTGGAGCTGTGGCTCAAACTGGTAGAGCACTAACCTTGAGCACAAGAGCTCTCGGACAGTTTCCAGGCCTGAGTTCAAGCCCCATGACTTTCCAACAAACAAACAAACAAACAAACAACACCAAAAGACATGCATATGACCTTCTTATCAGGAAGTAAGTTTCCCAGTATGACAAGCAAGAAAGCATAGGTTACACATGCATCAATTAGTAGTGACATGGGGGGGAATCCATGCCTGAGACTAGGGGGACATCTCTGATGTTCCTTACAGCCTTGCAACTCTAGAGACTCAGAGAATTCCATGATGTGATGCTGTCCCTTGTTTCTACTGCTTGACCCATCACTCATGCATATTCCTTGCTCTAAGCAGGAACTGAATCAGGGAGGTAAGAGGAAAACAATAAAGCAAATCTGTCCAGGAAAAAAAGAGAACTTATTGTTTTTGTAATTCTTATTTTATTTTTATTCTTATTTTTTAATTCTGTGCTAGGTCCCATTATATATGACACTTAATCCCTAAGAGTTATTACAGTATTACCTCTAGGAGAGAGCCAAGGCTCAGAGAGGTTAAGTAATTTCCCTAAAATCACAAGTATCAGGAGTAGAGCCAGGATATGAATCTATGTCTCTATGAATTCAAGCTCAATGGGGTATGTTATTTATAGTCATCCTTTATTTACAGCAAATGATACAGATTTCTAAGATGTTTTGTATTAACATAAGACTTCTTTTCAAATAAATTTACATAAAATAAGTAAAGCGAGAAACATACTATAGAAGTAATAATGTTACTAGTAGCTAAAATACTTAAGTCTGGTATTCAAAACACTTTTGGCAGGGCTAGGGAGGCAGGTTTAGTGGTAGGGGATTTACCTAGAATGCACAAGGCCCTAGATTTGATTCCTAGTGCTGACAAAAGATTCTGTTGATAGCAAAAATTTCAATTTAGCTTGCCTTGTATTTTCATTGGTCAACACAAGGCAAAGAAGGACATTTGAAAATTAAGTGAAATATGAATGGATTCTCCAATGCTCTAGTAGATGGGTAATTTCATGTAGTACAAGAAGGAAACCACATGACTCTTTCAAATAAAAGAAAATTACGATCGTAAAATCCAGAGGAAAACCCCAGGTGGGTCTATCCATATGGCATTTTTGAGATATGCACACAGAGTGGTCAAAGGGAAAGACTCAGGCGGAGTCCAGAGTCCCCGGATGGAAGGTAAAGAGCTTTACAGATGTGTTTGGGAAGAGCTATCATCGTCTCTTTAGTGAAAGAAGGAAGACCCTTTTGTGGAAAGGTCAAAGTAAGAATTGGGAAAGACTCAAAGAAAACAATTGCCAGGAGCCATGGGGCTTGTGTAGGTACTGAGGAGCCTGAGATCAGACCTCAGTGTAAAACCATCCTGGGCACAAAAATCTGCATGATTTTTTTTAAAATCTCCAATTAACCAGTAAAATATCAGAAGTGAAGACATGGCTCAAATAGTAGAGTGCTAAAATTGAACGAAAAAGCTAAAGGACAGGGCCTAGTAGTTCTGAATTCAAGGAGAGAGAGAGAGAGAGAGAAAAGAAAAAAGAAGTGAGGTAAGAAAGTAATAAGGAAAACAAAACAGCCTGCCAGATGATTCCGGTGACTTACCTGCAAGATCTCATCTGCCTTTCAGAATACTAAAGAAAGAAAGTTAGTACTAATCTCATTTCATAGGGACAAGACCGAGAAGACTGCGATTTGGAGATGCTCAGCCACCTGTCCCACAGTCAAGCCAGGATATGACTAGGGACCACCAGTTCCAAGCCCACATTCCTTCCCCTGCACCATATGCCTTTTACTGCCTTAGTCTTCTCAATCCAGTCAACAGCAAACAGCTTTCACTTTGTCACTCAATTTCTACAGCTTTGTGGGTCCTTGTCAACCACTAAAGAAAGCAGAAGAGACATGCCCTGCACTCAGAGGCACATAACTTTGGCCACCATCACAGATCACAGAGTATGCAGTATTTGTGCAGAGTATGCACAGAGTATGGTCAGAAAAGAAGCCATGTATCCAGGGCAGGAAAATAAACTGCAATTTGTGACGCCTATTCCTGCCAAAGCACTGGGTTCAGAGAAATCCTCTGGGCATTCACATACCTCTCCCACTTCTATTTGTGGCTTGTCCCTAAAGTCAAAGGTACCACCCACTTCCAGGAATGCCACTTTCAGGGTGGTGTATGTTAATTGACTTTTTTTTTTTGTCAATCATGGAGCTTGAACTGGGCACTGTCCCTGAGCTCTTCAGTTCAAGGCAAGCACTCTGCCACTTGAGCCACAGCGCCACTCCTTAATTGACTTTTAATGAGGTCCACAGAGAGGGTCTTTCATGGATGATTTGATCTCTTGTTCTTTCTGGTTGGGAATTTCCCTGCATGTGTGTGACTGCTCAGCAAACATGGATGGAACCAAGCTGAATTGTTAGCTTGTGGGCTCTAAGGATTGTGTTCCTAGGTCTCTCTCAGTCTATCAGGGAGCTTATGGTTGTGGAAGGGGTTGTCTTTGGGGGTTTCCTTAGGGCTTTACACACTCCTCACTGTCCAAGATCATACATGTAGTCATTCTCATCAGTGGAAATGCCCACCTGCCAGCAGAAGTTATCTGCCACTGTCTGCGTGTTGCTTCTCTCTAGTCAGTTCCCCTTTCTGTATTTCAGATCTAGCCCTGGTTCTGAGATTATTTTTCACTGTATAAGGAAGCCCCAGAGCCGACAAAGGCTCCTGTTGCTTTCTTATCGGCTCACTCCTTCTTCTTCGGGAATGCTACTGTGCTTATGTGTCTGGTCTCTGGGAGCTGTGGTAGATGGGCATTGATGACAGGTATGTTCTTAAGAAACACTTAACTTGGAAAGTATGAGGTAAAATGCTACAATTGGAGCAGAGGGGCAGAGGGGGTTGTGCAGCTTTGCAACTGATGGCTTATGGAAGGGGCATAATGTGTACTTCAAAGTTTGACCATCAGGATCGATTCTCAGGCCAGCCACATTGGAGATGAGACATTACAGGAACAAGACTCTTCCAGCCAGGTTCCTGTATCTTTAGTGAGACAGGGCAGATAAAAGACCCTTGGCCTTAAGGTGCTGGGGGCTCCAAGCAGCTCTGTTCTAGAAGCTTTCTAAGCTTCTAGAGGAGGAGGAGAGCTAGAGGAAGGAAGCGATATCCACAGCCTCTTTGCAATGGCTTCTGCTTTCATGTTGGCATTTCCTTGTCTGATCTGATCCAGAAACCTTTGCCTATTTTTTTTGCCCTTTCAACTGCTGGCTCTCAATATTAGAGACTAATAGTTCATTTAGAAAGAATTCATTAGGTCAAAAGGAGCCCAGACAGCAGTTGACTTGTTCTACATACTGTGTGCCCATTTGCATTTGTAAATCGGCTTAAAATATCAAGTCTATTAATAGTAAAGTAAGGTTCTGGAGAGACAGGTGAAAGTAAGTTTTGATCTAGGGAACTTCCCACCTTCTCAACTTATAATAACTAAGGAGATGGCCAGTTCATCTTACATTTAACCTGCTTGAGAACTAGGACTGTGGACGTCAAAGTGTGTGTTGTGCTCAGATTCACAATTCTGTACTGGGCCTGCCCTGTGCTGCTGCATATACTGTTCATGTTATGTAGGTGAGCCATAATGGAAGCTACTATAAATTTCTTTTTATTTATGTATTTATGTTTACTGGGTTCTTCCAATGTCCTAGGTACTAGGTTTTTAATAAGGTTGTAGTTCAATAGGAAATAATCACATAATCCCATTAACATGACTATTAGGAACAGTGCTCTGAAGGAGAAGAATTGATTTTATGTGATTGCTGATTGATTACTATGTCTTTGCACTTGATATTTTGGTTACACTATTACCCCTAAATATCAGATGTTCCTTTCTGGGTGGAGGTGAGGGCTGGTTTTATAAAACTGAGCTCTAGTGGGAAGGAAAGAAACATGAAAAGTTCAAATGGAAGCCATCTAAGATTCTTAAGCAGAAAAAAATTAAAATTTAAGTACCATGTTTCAAATATGAAGTAAAAGAGGAAGTTCAGTGTGGGAATGTCTAGGCGAGGACTGGAGCTGTAAAGGTATTAGGAGAGCAAAACTATCTCTGAAACAAAGAAGACAGGAAAAGGAGGGAGGAGAAGCTTCTAGCCATTTTCTAGAGCCCAGACAAGTGCTGTCCATAGGGCAGAAGAAGAATAGGCCTACAGGTTGGACACATGGTTACTTCTGAATGGTACACTGACTACACTCAGGTTTCAGTACACTCAGTGGGAGACAGGTGCTATGTTGAAAGATATATTTTCAACACTGCATTCTTCTATCAAGACTCTGACATCTCAATGACGGGAAACATCCCAATCATGTCTTTCTCCATTCATGACTGCAATTCCTTCCTGAGTACTAGGTCTTATGTAGATCACTTAACTCCCAATGGCTTAAAGCAAATAAGAAAAACCCATTTCTCCTTTCTAGCTATCATTTACGTTTTAATGTTGGGGCTTTCAAAAATGTCTTAACCTAAGTAATGAGTAATGTGGTAGTTCCAAGAACTTCCATATCACTGGAACATATTCTGGTGCCCAGAATGGGAGATGGGGCGGTCCCTCCAGTTGTACTCTTAAAACAGTCTGTCCTTAAAATTTAAGACCATCCTTAAAACTGTGTCCTGGACTTATCTCTCTCTGAACAAGTTTCTAGTTCTGAGAAAATAAGAAAGAAACTCCCTCAGGGGGCCAGGATGGGAACTTTAGTGAGTTCCATGAACCTTGTTTCTGGCAGGCAAAGTCCTTGCATGAACGTGCAACTCTAAAGTTTTGCACCAAACAATAAAGAAAGAAAGAAAAATAGCTTGGAAAGCCATCGGTAGTTTGAAAATAGAGTGGTCATTGACTCAAACAGGTCTGACACTAGATACAGGTAAGAGTATTGGTCATCTATTTTTCATACACAAGTGTTGTTGGGGACAGAAGAAAGTTAAATGGTATCATCATGCTTTACCTCTTCTCTGGACCAGTGAGAAGGAAGTACTCTTAATTCTAATCTCTTTAGTGATTATAATATTAGAGGACCACTAACAGCATCCCTTTCTGATGCTGCTCTCATATTTGTGTAGAAACATTGTACTCCCAAATGGGTGAGGGCCATAGCAGCTAATAAAGAAAATCCAGAATTTGGTAAGGAAAGATCTCCACAAATGGGAGTCTAAGGAGGATTTGATCCAAGAAGAGATTAGACCTTGAGTGAGGCAGATAATCCAGTCTGCTCTAGACAGAGACATGGATAATAAGGGAGCTTAGAGGGGCATAGAGCACAGGATGGGCAGTACATAGACATAGCCAGTCATCTCTTGTATCTACCAGAAACCCAAATATGTTTGTTTGGTTTTTACTGGTCAGTCGTAGGGCTTGAACTCTGGGCCTGGGCACTGTCCCTCAGCTCTTCAGCTCAAGGCAAGCGCTCTACCACTTGAGGTACAGCGCACTTCCAGTTTTCTAGTGGCTTATTGGAGATAAGAGTCTCACAGACTTTCCTGTCCCGGCTGGCTTTGAACAGCAATCCTCTGGTCTCAGCCTCCTGAGTAGCTAGGATTATCGGCGTGAGCCACTGGTGCCCGGCTATGTTTGTATTTTTGCTGGGAACATCATTCACACTCATCTCTTCCTTGACATGCCCACTGCTCCCATGTTGGTTCTTTCTCTCTACTCAATAGTGGCCTGTCTTGGTCATTCTGATACCAGCCCTCACTTCAGGCCATGGATAGGCGATTTTCTTTAAATTTTCATGACATAATTTTCTGCTCCTAAGTTACTATTCCCAAGCTCCTAGTTCTTTGTCCAGTAAATATAAACTCCTTATTGAACTTTCCAGGCCCTCATTTTCTGTTCTACTAACAAAAATTAATTTCCTATTGTCTGTCCATAGACAATCTTTCCTTCAGTCCAGTCAACATTTCTTCATGATTGATAAAAGACCATACTCATTCCTCCATTTCTGTATGTACTAAAAAATTGCATTTGATTGCTTTCCAGAAACTCACACAAGTAGTAGAGAGGAATTTTGAATTTTTCCAAGACCATGAAATGATAGGAGTTTGGAGTAATGTTTGTACCTCTGAACTGATAATTGAAAATTGTATCCGTGTGTTAAAATATCACACTGTATCCCATAAGTTCATGCAATTATTATGTATGAGTTAAAAACGGGGCCAAGTATGTAATTTAGTAGTACCCACTGCCTGGCCTTGCAAAATACTCTGATTTTCAGTCCGAAAAAAATTTAATGAAAAAATATTATCAAAGAATATTATACCAATAAAAAGCACTGATACGGGGCTGGAAAGGTGGCTTAGTGGTAGAGCGCTTGCCTTGCATGCATGAGGCCCTGGGTTCGATTCCTCAGCACCACATAAGCAAAAAGAAAAAAGCCGGAAGTGGCGCTGTGGCTCAAGTGGTAGAGCGCTAGCCTTGAGCTGAAGAGCTGAGGGACAGATCCCAAGCCCAGAGTTCAGGCCCCACGACTGGACCCCCCCCCCCCAAAAAAAAAAATAAATAAATAAATAGAAAGCATTGGTACTCATGCCTGTAATCCTAGCTTCTTAGGAAGCAGATCTAGATCTTTTATTGGGGGGGGGGGGGTCAGTTGTGGGCTTGAACTCAGGGCCTGGGCACTGTTCCTGAGCTTTTTTACTCAAGGCTAGCGCTCTACCACTTTGAGCCACAGCGCCACTTCCAGTTTTTTGGTGTTTAATTGGAGATAAGAATCTCACAGACTTTTCTGCTTGGGCTGGTTTTGAACCAAGATCCTCAGATTTCAGCCTCCTGAGCAGCCAGGATTACAGGCATGAGCCACTGGCCCTTGGCTTTCCTGGATCTTTTAAGGTTTAAAGCTATGCTGCAAACTGTTTATAAGACCACATTTCAACCACTAGCTGGATGTGGTGGCATGTACCTGTCATTCCACGTATGTGCGAAACATAGGTGGAATGAAGGTCCAGACCAGCTCTCCATAAACTTGGAACACTATCTTCAAAATAACTAAAACAAAAAAAGAGGGAGACACTTAAGTGGTAGGATGTCTGTCTAGCAAGTTTGAGACTCAGAGTTTAGCCCTTAGTGCCATCAAAAAATAAATAAATAAACCCATCAAGCACAGGTTATACCTCATATTCCTTATACATGTACATGTGTGCATATGTGTATGTATATCAAGAGCCTGGCTGTAATTCAACACTCAGGAGGCTGAGGCAGAAGACTCATGGCTTTGAGGCAGCCTGAGATAAATGTGAATTCCAGGTCATTCTGATGCTTGCTCTCACTTCAAGCCATGGGCTAGTAGCAAGAAAAAAAATAATGTGGCTAAAATGCTAATATTTATCCAGGTCAATTCAATAAATATTGTTAAGTGATTGTCTTGGGTAGAGTTGATGGGAGTTTGCACCACATTGATTTCTTGGAAATTAGGAAACCAACTCTCAGAGCCAAACTTTTTAGCAACTTGGGAGCCCAGGCTGACACTCTCCTAAGCAGAAGTATCAAAATGAGTAGACCTAGAGTCAATAGGAGAGTCATCTGCTCTGACAGAAATTGACTTCTGTCACAGGCCTCTATCACTTTTTTCCTGCCACTGGGCTACACTTCTGTACAGTTCTTGTTCAAGTACCACCACCACCTTCTCTCTACTCTGCTGGGCTCAAGGCTACCTGCTCCATATCTTTTGAAGTCATCCCAATAGACTTTCTAAACAGGGCATTTTCTAAGTGTAACACACTGCAGATTATGTTAAAATCACAGGAAAAGTAGAGGGATAGCATATCAGGGGTCCTCTTTTCTTTT